GAATGAGAAATGAGAAAAGAAGAGTCGAGAGATGAAAAGAAGAAGAAAAAAGAAAAAAGAAAAGAGAACAAAAAGTTGTGAAGTTGAGGAGGGTGGATAAGAAGAAGAAGAAGGACCATCCTTGACTGGCATATCCGCCGGAAGTAGTTATCGTTCGAATCGGTAAATGTTTTTCCAACCGTCCCATACTTATAACCCTCTATTCCTCTTTTCTTTCTCTCTCTCTCTCTCTCTCTCTCTCTCTCTCTCTCTCTCTCTCTTTCTCTTTCTTCTGATGAGACTCGTTAGGAAAGATCTCACGATCTTTCGTTAAAGAGTACCGGCTAAACAAGCTGATCGTGAACGTTCGATTGATGGCCTAGCTTCGAGCCAATTTGTTAAAATATAACTCTTTAATCGTTAGAAATAATTGTGCTTCATTATTAATATATTATTGCAATATGGTTTAAGAAATAAATCGAACAGCGTAAATGTTTATATACCTTATAGTTGACAAAATTATTTATGTGAAATAATCAATGTTAATATCATTCTTTATTAACCCCTATTAGTACCATCGTTATATTTATTTTTATACCTGTTTTCTCGAACCTTATTAAATTATATAAAACTTGATTTTCCGATTGGCATTATAAAAGGGTTGATTAAAAATCACAAATTATAATAAAATAATGAAAGTATCGTCATAATATCAGTGCAAATTTTTTCATATACATATCGTCATAATATGTCGGAAGGGAAACAAATAAAATTAGAAAAAAATAAATAATATTAGAAAAAACAACATTACACAGAGAAATAGATAAAGATAGGAGAGAGTTTCGTTAGGAAACCATCTCTCTGTCTCTCTTTCTCTCTCTTTTTCGACGATCTCAGAATACTCGCAGACTTTTGACCTAGAATGAGGCGAAATCGAGGAACGTCTCGAGCACGAGGAAGAAGAAGCGGTAAATATAACGCTGTTTCTGCGACTCTCGAGATACGTATCTCGAGCAAAAATAGTAGAAATACATACTTGCGGATACTACATTAACATTTTTCTTGCATTCTGATGCATGGATATTGTAATTCAAATTATTACGAATTATTAAAGACAAAATCAAATCTTTATTCGCAATAAAATAAACGCGAAACAAAATCTAATGCAAGTCAGATTTTGATTTTGTATTAAATTATTTTTCTTTTCTTTAAAATTCCCTCGCCTTTTTCTTTTCTCGACCAAACAACGACGAAAACGTGTTCATCATGAAATCCTAGGCTCTAAATATACAAACATTTCTATCGAACGTGTGACACTTGACAAAACTTTTAGTTATTGCTTTCGTTTTAATTGTAAAAACTAACACAATATTTTATTATTTACTGGATATTTATCCTGAACCTTTTTTTTACCTTTTTTAATTATCGATAATTATAAAATGAAATTAAACGTAAATCCCCCCCTCCCCAAAAAAATTGACACGGTTTAAATTCTTTCAAATATAATTAAAATGATGTCAACAAAATTAATTTATATCATTTAGTAGCCCATTTGTTTGGGTCGCCCTGTAAAGTATCGGCACGATATTATAACAAGTATCAATAATTACGTCAAATTAACTCGACAAAAATGTTGAGTAGAAGCGTTCATGTTTCCGCAAGGTGACGACGATGTATCAGTTCTCTCTCTCTCTCTCTCTCTCTCTCTCTCTCTCACCCCCTTTTTTTTGTGCTTTTTCTCTTTCTGTCTCGCTTCCGCTCGCAAATTCTCTCAGGCGGACGCATTTGGCACCGTTGGCACCAGCTCAGACGTCCACGATGAAATATCTAGTACTGGTGACTTTGATCTTCCGACGGTGGAGCATTGCGTCGCGGAGGTTGCAGTCTTGATGCAGAAGGAGGAGTAGGAGGTGGAGATAGAGATGGAGGAAGAGTAGGAGGAGGAGGCTGAGGGAAGAAGACTCGTGTGGTGTAGCCACATAATCCTGTCTCTCTCTTTCTCTTAATACGATCTTGAGAAGCAGGAAGTTTTGCGAAGCAATTCGCTCTGTGTGTTTCTCCTCGTGGGTGTTGGAGGAAAGGATCATCTCTGATTTGTCATTTATTATTATTATTATATTTTTATTGTTTTTTTTATTTTGTAGCAAAATTAAATACGATTCTATCTCGTATCTCGACTACGTTTCAATTATATAACAAATATATATACAAAATTATTATAAAAAAAATAAATATGAGAAAGAAACAAAAAAAGAAAAAAAGAAATGGAAAAGCATTTGAGAAGAATTTGTCTGATAGAAAAATAATAGACAATTTAACACATTAGCTGACTGGGAGTCAATTTATAGACTCGTCAACGTTTACAGATCTACGGGGGTGGTCTATAAATAAACTTTTCATTTATCTCGTTTATCGAATTTATAATATAATTATTCCGTTATCATATTCAGAGATTTAAGAAAGGATAATTGATTTATCGTAACGATTTCTTCTTAATAAGAACGTTAAACACATCGTCTAATTAAAATATCTAATAAAATGACACTTAGAAGAGACTTTAAAGACACCTTGGATCGTTTCTAACACTTCCTCCTCCTCTTGATCGGAAGACGCGTGTAAATGCACACGCGGAACGACAGCTGCGTTCATACGGGAATCGTCTTAGAGAGATCTCACTGACCCTCTTCTTTCTCTCTCTCTTCTCTCTTGTACATTCTCACGTGCAGTTAAGGGTGAGTCACCCTCGTTGAAATTCTAAAAGCGCCGATTTCCCGAAAGTCTATTACGAAGCACTTGGCGTCATACGCCCTGCTATTTTCCGCCCGTATCCTCCCATCTCCGTTCTATTAGGGTTGCCGACAAGTTTTTTTCTTTTTTCTTTTTTTTTTTTTTAATAATAGTAACAATAACGATCGAAAACAAAAACATTGCTACTCGATTTGTAGATATTTCATAGAGAATAATGAGAATAAAATTGTCTGAATAATATTGAACAAGAAAAAGAGAAATGAGAAATGACTTTTTCTTTCTTTTTTTTCTTTTTTTTTTTTTTGTAAAAACACATAATCCTTGTATTTTATTCCGACCCCAAATTTACAAGCAACTCGACTTTCCCTATCTAAGAAAACGTTTTCTTTTTACGTAGCAAAGAAGATATTACGTAATGGTGCGTTCCGGTTGGCGCGTGCGAACGGATGTGCAAGCGTGATGCGAGCATCCTCGTTCTCTACAGGTGCACCGATCCTTGAAATCTTTTCTCTTTCCAGTAACTTCGTAAGATCGGCCGATCGATAAGTTTAACGTACTACTCGAAAACTGTATCCCCTTTCGTTTCAATGTTACACAATTTTTCTTTCCGGTTAGTTACTACCATTTTATTTTATTTTATTTTATTTATCTTCGTTGGATAATCATCCATTTTTCGTAATTTTTGCATATTTTTCAACATTATGATTAAGTAACAACAACAAAAATCCATTATTTCTTTTTCAAATGCAGCACGTTACATCAACATTTTAGTCATTTCACGTAAAAAAAGGAAAAGAAAGCGTACAAGGAAAAATAAAAAGATTCTTTGTGCTAATGCAAGTCCTCTTTCTTTTTTTTTTACACACATATATATACAGGGTGAGTCATTTAAAAATCGGAACACTTAAACAATGTCTCTGTTATCAATGGTTAAAAAGAAAAAATAGTAATTAGTTCGAAATCTCTAAAAAAGAAAAACAAACAAAAAAATAAATAAAACACTATTACCAATACAGATACATTTTCATTAGTACAACTTATAAATTAGTTGTAAAAATTTTTTGAACATAAGACTATAAATAACAGATATATTTAGATGTTCCAATTGAAATGGTTCACCCTGTATATATGTATCGTTGAAATAGAAGGCAAATGCTTTTCTAAACGGCGAGTAGAGACACCGTGACGTTTTAAAACGCCGTCAGGCTTCCATTCCGGGTATAAAGGGTAAAAGAGAGTAGTCGCGTGATGTGAAAGAAGAAGCCTCGTACGTGCGTACGTGCGTATATATGCATTTTTCCATTCGCGAATAAAAAGTTCAAGAGACTCTTATTCTTCTTCCATTTATCTTCTTCTTTCGACGAAGAATTTACAAATTTAAACTTTTTTTTGCCTAGCTCTTATTTCGAGTACTCTTTTCCTTACTTACAAGGGAGCAGCATCATACCAAGAGCGAACATTTCTTTTTTATCCTCTCCCCTCACCTCTCCTCTAACTTTGTATTATTACTTGTTCAAGGCTCTCTCTCTCTCTCTCTCTCTCTCTCTCTCTCTCTCTCTCTCTCTCTCTTCTTAATTAAATTATGGAACAATTATACCTTTATNCTCTCTCTCTCTCTCTCTCTCTCTCTCTCTCTCTCTCTCTCTCTCTCTCTCTCTCTCTCTTCTTAATTAAATTATGGAACAATTATACCTTTATTCTTTTTCCAGCAGTTTATTAATTGCTTGACAATATGTTATTTTATTCAATGTTATTTATTTGATTGTAAGTTACGGTTTTAATTCAAAGTAACTTATGTAGCTTATGTTGTTTAACATTTCATTATTCTTAGCTATTAATCCATAAAAAGCTTCAATAATTATATGTAAAAGTATTAAGAAACAGCATACTTGAAATGAAACATGATTTTCTCCCCATTAAAAATTAGTCTGACCAGCAATAACTCGGATTAGTAATAATGTTAATTAGTGACTTTTAGCTGAACATAGATGATATTTAGAAATTTGAGTATCCATTAACTTATTCGATTTACTAACACATTATAAGAATTTAGCATTGTTAAATATTCATATTTGTTCATTGCATTATTTCATTCTCATATTATACTATATATATGTATGTATATATAATTATATTAGTAGCGAAATCGAGAGGTTTTAACTCGAGCGTAAAAAGGTCGTTAAACCTATGTGACATGGACTTAGCTAGACGAATCGTTACTATCGAAGTTACTTCCGTGATTGTACTAACGATACTTAATTGCCTTTTCGTAGGGCTTCCAGTGGCCGCGGAACTGATTCGCCCCTAAACTCGGATTTAGCACTGGACAAACCTCGACCGATACCGTCTCCCAGGTAAGACTATAAATTTGTTATTTTTTTTCCTTTTTTTTTTATCATCTAATAATACTTTTCTCCACCTTCATTTAAACACAAAGTTTTTCCTTCTTTACATTAAGCAAAAACTATCACTTTGATTTATTTTTTACTTGTGTGAAAGAAAATAAAATATAAGTTAAATATGTAATTTAAGTAATAAGTAAAAGTAATAAAATACTTTTGATTTGATTTCCACAATAATAAAGTTATACGTAATAGCTTGATTTTATTTAAATAAGTATAATATATATATATATATATATTTGTACTAAACGGCGTCATCTCGTTGATAGAGAAAGAATTATTACACACGTCAATCTGATAAACCTGTATGTTCAGTTATCGCATATATACCAGTAAGAATTAGTAGTTTGTCGGGTTGCCTTCGTAGCCAAGTGCGCAAGATGTTCGACTTGTGATCTGAATTCTCCACAACAAACCGAGATCAAATCWATCCTGAGGAAGAAAATTCAAGAAGGGGAAACACATTATTTCATTATATTCAAGCTGTACAATAACAATAAACGTCAAGAATAGGATGATACGTGTGTTTGGGTCTAGGGAGGTAGGATCGACTGTTTAGCCCTACTGATGAGTCGTTAGCGGTCGGTCCAAAAGAAGACGAAACCTAAACACATGGCCCAGTTGGGCAATTTGCAACTAGCCAGACTTGTAAACATCGGCTTTGGTTGCAGAAGAAAAGTAATTATTGACCATCGGAGATTTAGTTTCTTGCTTTTAATTAATATAGGCGATGAACGCTCACCTTCGCGTTCCAATTTTTGTACTTCTCCTCGTCTTCGTTACTTGATTAGTACCTAAGCCCACCGAATAGTTGGTTTCATCTAGGTCTAGGGCAGGGAATCTAAACCAAATAATGATATCAAGCCCTACTGATGAGTCTTATGGTTCAGTTTCTCGACGACGAAACCTATTGGATCTGATGGAACAATACTTATCTAACAATAAGAGAGAGAAAGAGAGAGAAAGAGAGAGAGAGAGGGAGAAGCAGCATACGGTTACGATGAAGGAGAAGGCAACCCACATTTTTTGCAATATTAATAATTTTATATTAACTTTTACTTTATGGTTAAGTTAACGATCTAGCCACGTTGAATTAGTAATATCCGTCAGATCACCTAGATTGGGAACGGTTATATAAAACGAATTGGTTATCCGTTCGGGAAAATGAAAACTGTGTACTATTGACTTGAGAGAGGTGCTTAATTAACATGACATTTTTTTTTATTATTGAATATGTGTTAAAAAGTGCTCACAGAGAAGTGACTCGAACCCGTAAAAGGAAGATTCAAAAAGACATAGATATAAAATAATATATATGCAATGGGTCGAAGAAAATTTGTGTCATTATTTATTTGCGCATTATATCGATCGCGTTAAGAAAATAATCAGAGTCATTTTATTTAACATTTGATCGTTTGATGCAGGTAAATTT